ATCTGCTGGTGACTTAGAACCCCTCTGTATCCTGCCGCTATAGTGGTGGCAATAAAAGGTTTGAGAGATCCCTTGACTTTTACCCTACAATAATGAAGGCTCGGGCCTTGAGCCAGACACATAGCAGAACAATCTACAAGTATCCTCACACATGGATGTTTTGTACCAACACAGAAAAGGTATGCTTTCACTCCCCTCCCTGAAAAACAGTATCAGCACACTTGCTATGTAGATTTTTCTCAGACTTCAAAGGATGTAAAATTTAATTAGTATTTCCAACAATAAACACTTTAATCACTGCTAGTGTATTCCAGTAGAAACTAGGTACCCTACAAGTAACTGGGGGTTTCTCCAAATATATAGGCTCCCTAGAGCCTCATTTTTGAAGTCAAATGCTATACCACATGCACCTTCGAGTCATTATTAACCTTGAGCCAGACCATATGATTCATCACATATGCATTACAGAGACTGCATCTACAAAAACAGGTGCCAGGGTCCAACCCCCTTAGTTGCTGCCCTGTGTACAATCAGCAATGGAGACAGAAATTAGGAGACAGTAATACTGTAAAAGAGGAGTAGCTACTGCTAAGTAATCTCTAGCTTTATCTTCATATGTGCAGCTCCCTCAACTGTACAGAGGAGATTTAAAATGACAAAGTGATGCTGTATATTAAGTCCCCTATACTATTTGATCACTCCCTCTTATTTCCTGCTATTAAGTGTCAGTCATTAAAGGTATTAGTAATGATTTAACTTAATTTGTATTGCCACAATTGGAAAACAGACTGGTCTTCCACAAAGGTTTTCAGACCTACAAAAAAAAGTAGAAGTGAAGGGAAAATAATGATAGTTTTAAGCATGATTCTACTCGGAAAAGTGAGTATATAACAGCAGTATATTCTTACTCAACAGAATTGCTCCTTGTGTATATATCAGCTCATTTTAGAGACAAAAAGGTTTTTACTATTTCATAAACTTGTTAGCTCCACAGTGCAAACCAGATAAGAGGTAGTGAGTTGGGCTCTTCTCTTTCTTGTGTCACCAATAGACGCGTTTACTAATTTCCAATTACAGGTCTAATCAGTGACACCTGGTCAACTGCAGTGAAGACTATGTAGCTGGAATGGGCAAGTGAAAAACAACAAAAAACAGCTGAAGTAGACTATTGTTGATGCCTGGAAGATGTCTCCCTAGCCTATCTTGCAGAGATACTTCTGTGTGTGCAATAAAAGCTAATGGTGAGTACACAACATACTTTAATAGAATGAAAGCACAGAAATCCAAACTATTATTACTGATTTTCACATTTTAGTAAGTGTCTGCAACTTTCTGTGGATGACTAATGTCAGTGTCCGAGTTTCTTTGGTATTTCAATTAACTAGTACCTGGCTTTTGCTGTAAGTAAACTGCACAAAGAGAATGCTGGTACATAACAAGGATATGATACAGCATCATTTAAAAGCATATACTAGTAAACTTTTGAAAGCATCAGAATATTTGCATCTAAGATCTCCAGCCTCGATGACTAGCGAGGTGTAAACTCTCAAAGGGGGGCAGAGGAATAAACTTAATCATATTCCACAAGCAAGCATTTGACCTAGCCTCAGCAGCTCAACAGCAATGATGTGGAGAACTGCACAAAACTCCCAGTAGCTGTGCTATCGTAACATTGGCAAAATGAGTCTTGAGAGCTTTTGTTGCTGTAACATGAGTCTCTTCACAGAAGGTGTCAGTTTACACAGCCTTAGGACAGAAACAAATTTCACTTTGGACTATACTCCATATGCAAGCGAGAGAGTGTGATTTACCAAGGTCTGATTTTCTTGGGACATAAAAACTAAGTACCCACTTCAACTCCAACTTGTGTAAAAGGCTGCCCTGGGAGGGTCGTGATTTAATAAATGGTAAGACTCCTCTTTTATCAATGTGATGGACCCAAGGGTCTGTCCTTCTAGACTAATGGAGCATATCATATTCCAGATGGCTTTGAAGAATACTATTTTGCCGACAGATCACACTAACCACTACTAGAATTTTATAATAACCATATGTCCTTGACTTTTGATATTGTGGCTTCTAAATGACCATTTGCTGGATCCGTAGCCATAGGCCGCTATGCTTTTTTAATGATCTGCAACAAATGAAATGAGTTAGAAGATGATAGAATACCAGTGGCAGAAATCCCATGACGAGTCAGACTGATAGTGACAAAGCATTTTTGAAGTCTTTGTCACTGCTGTACAGGAGGCAAAGAAGATTGTCTTTGTCTCTACCCCCATAGTGTCTGCAAACTCTCAGATAACAGATCTTTTTGAATGGTGATTAGCCTAGTTAAACTGCATAGTATTCGCTATCACAGCTGAATATTTTTCACTGAAGAATTTTCATTATACTTTGTAAATAAAATTAGTCAGATCACAACTGAGCTGTCTGCCTCTATGGAGATGAGGCAGAGGTTTTTTTGAGATTACAAATACTGTTTCTTCTGCAGTTTCAGCCACCAGGGTTGCTCACCTTGATTCTGGGAGGTGCTCCAGATTACAACCTGTAATTTGGACCCTCACGCGTCTTGGTGGTGAAGGAAGGCAAGTAGGGAAGTACTGGGCTCAGTACTGGCTAAGATTGTTCCCTATGGGATGAGGAAACATGGAAGAGGGAGTAGGGTGTGACTTATTTTTAACCAAGTTCTTGTAAGACAGCTAATTCAGAAAACCAATTGTTGACACTGACAGTCTTGACAGCTATCCATCTGGATCTAATCTGCCTTTTCTGAGGGAAACTATGATCCTTTTTCAATCAGGTTTCCTTGACTTTAAGTCACACAGGTTTCAGGCCTGAGAACAAGACGGAAAATGGCCTGGCTGATGACCTGCTAACAATGGATGAAGGTCAAGTATTCATGACAGTTCTTTTGTTTGTCAGCAGTTTTTGATGCCTCTGATCAACAGATATTATGGGCTCATCTGTGGTACCCAACAGGGCAAGTAGGACTGCTATTGTCTTTGTGAGAGAGACCCCAGTGGATAGTTTTGGACAACTGGTCTTGTGCTCTAAGGGCTCTGTCATGAGGGATACCTCAGAAATAGATTTTGTCACCCTCCAGTTCAACAGATATGCACGTTAGTTGAAAGGGACAGTGAAGGGACATGGGCCGTGGTGTGTTTGAATAATGCCAACATCCAACTCACTGTTCTCCATGCTTGGCCTGGCTTGTGCAATGAAGCAAATGACCCAGTCTCTTAAAAGATGGGAGCATGGATAAGAGAGCTGGTTCCGGTTTAATGCAGGAAGAATTCAATACAATATTGGTGCAATGGGAGAAGCAACTAGAAGAAGTGCTGACTGGAACCCTGGATTTAGGGAGTGTGTCAGACAAGTTCACTGTTTGAGGTTGCTCCTGGATGCCAGGCAGAAGGATGTGCCCTCTGGGCTGGGTGATCTTTCTGATGCAGATCTTGCTGCAGTTATCTGTGCCGTTGTCATCTTGAGATTAGGCTATTGTAACGTATCGTACATTTGACTACCCTAGGGACTACTCAGAAACTGTTTCACTAGTGCTCCATGTTCTGTACTGGTTGTATATAGAGTTCCAAATGTTGACACTGAAAGCCTTAAATGGTTTTGGACCTTGCAACTGAAGAGACTGGCTCTCTCTACCATGTGATACTGTGGCAATTGTATCCATGTAGGGACTCAAATTAGAGTTCCCTGGTTTAAAAGGGAAAAAGCTGCATAAAAGGCATGTTTGTAAAGGTTCCTCAGAGATTTCAGTATGTCTAATCTCATTCCACAGGTCTATTGGGGTTGCCACCTTTCTAAATGCTGGTAATCAGACCCCCAAGACTCCGCCCAGTGCCCCACCTCTTCCCTCAAAGGCCCACCCCTGCTCTACCTCTTCCCCCCAGGCCACACCCCTTCTTCACTTCTTGCCCCCACCCCTCCAAGGCCCTGCCCCTGTTGCTCACTTCCTGCCTACTATGAAAATGCACATATTTTCTGGATAAAAAAAAAATCAGAACACAAAATACTAAGATAAACATGCACTATGTCAGAAGGAAATACAGTGCGACCATCATTTAAGAAGCTTTAATCTGTTGGCTGTGTGTGTGTATAAATAAACGACTCATGATATATTTAAGGCCCTCATCCAGCAGAACACCTAAGCACATGCTTAGCGCCACACCAGTGGAACTACTCAAACCTACTGGATCAGTGTCTAAATATGAAATACCCAGAAAAAGTGAGATGTGCCATACAGAAGAAATACAAAAGGTTTTATTTGGTTCCTGATCCTTTGAATTTTAAAAGGCTTGGAGACTTTTCTTCTTGGTACTGCTAAAATACAACTCAGTTTTCCCCATAGAAAAGTATTGGGTAAAAACAAAACAAAACAATAAATCAACCCTTGCACAAACAGTTTGCTAATATTGTAAAAACAATTTTCCCTCAGTGTCACCCACACTGCAAAATTTTCTACACAGCTCTGATGGGTATTGTACCATAACCGTACTCCTTTCAAGCCTCTATGAAAATCTACTGCGATGTTTTGATCGTTCAACTTTGTTATTGTCAATGATCTTGTCCTAAGAAAGTCAGCGGTTGTCTAATTCAGTTTTACAATCGTCTAAATTCTATCAGAAAATAATATGTTTATTGTTTTGTTATAAACTTAGACATGCATGGATTGTTTAAAGACATAACTCTGGCAATTCTTCTACCTTATTTTCACAAAAGCTCTCTTTCCCTCAGCTGAAATTTCTATACAATGCATGACAACAAAATGATATTTGGGGAAAAAATATGCTTAATTCGATAAAAATGGTAATTGTGATTAGATGTTATAGGAGGCAGACTATTGTCCCTACCACAGCAGCTCTGCTGAAGAATATGCTCACTGATCTATGTGTTTAAGTAACAAAAGCGGAAAATAAGGAGATACTGCAGATGTGCTATGGCTAAAACGATGACCTGATGACCCTCACCCCCCTCCATCTTACCAAGATCCATGCTTTTGGAGGTTTTCAGATTAATTGATTCAGGCTGCTTGGCTGTTGTCAAAGATCTGAAGTTGATGTTCTGATCTGTTAAATATGCTGCTGAATCCACTACAGAGCTGTGGAAAAAGCCATGCAAAACATTTAGGCACTAATACAAAACCAAGTGAAGTAATTAAAACTTTCACAATATAAATGTATTTTCCCCTCCAGTTGTTTGCAATCATGCATCTTAAATCAATCTCTGATTGTCACGTTTCTTTTGTGAGATTTAGCACCTCTACTCACATGTATTTAATTATATATATTTGAATACAGATTCTTCGTGAAGATAACTGCTGATTTTACATGCTTAATATTTAAATATGATTTTATTTAACAGAACAGAAGGGGAAATATCCAGTGCCAACAGTCTTGTTTTCTCTTCTGCTGAGCTCCTATTTAACTACCTCCTGTCTGAATTGTTTACCAAAGAGGTTGCACAAAATGCAGCCCCTGCACCTGGTTCACACTCTCTGACATGTCAACAATCTATGTGAATGATGGCATTTAAAAACACCACCACCCATCGCCATTTCACAGAAGCTCACCAGAAATAAACCTGCATGGAAGAGCAAAATTCTGTTTCACAAAGGACTGAGATTTGAAATTTGGTTCAGTTTAGAATTGGAATGAAACCTGAAAATTTCAAAATTCTCTATGAAGGAAAATTCTCCCTGCCTGCCCCCCCAAAAAGCAATTTTGGCTCAATGAAAACTTTTTGTTTTCATTTTGATTTTATATTTAAACATATAATTCAAAATTTAAGATAATTTCAAACAAAAGTAATTTCAAAACGAAAGACTGGAAAATTTCATTCAAAGAATATTGAAAAAGGATGTTTCAAGAATTTGATTCCTCCCCACTGCCCATTTTTCCCCCAAAGGGAATTTCAGCAAGACAGACACAATTTTGCAAAGCATTTCAATTTAGTTGCAACTGCATTTTCTGACAGAAAATGGTTTCAAGTTTTTCTGACCAGCTCTACTCTCAGTTTCAATCCATGTCAGATGAGCATATCCGAAATATTTAAAAAGAGAAATAAGAACAACAATCTCTCTCTTCCTCCCTTCCTTCCCAGTCTGCAGGAGATATATAGCCAAATCCTCACTGAGGGTAAAGCAACTGAGAATCTGGCCCATCATTTGATTAGTTTACAAAGGATTTTGTTTGCGTGTTTATGTTAGTTTGTATGTGTGAGTGTGTTATACACCTTAGAGACAAGAGAACATCATATTAAAAAACAAAATTGACACCAATGAAATTCATGTACATTAAGTAAAACAGAATGAAAAAAATTATAAGAATCTACCTGGGTATGAAGTGTTTAAGGCAGTGGTGGGCAATCTGCGGCTCATCAGGGTAATCCGCTGGCAGGTCATGAGACAGTTTGTTTACATTGATTGTCCGCAGGCACGACCATCCGCAGCTCCCAGTGGCTGCAGTTCGCCGTTCCCAGCCAATGGGAACAACGAGCGGCCATGCCTGCGGACGGTCAATGTAAACAAACTGTCTCACGACCTGCCAGCGGATTACCCTGAAGGGCTACAGGTTGCCCATCACTGGTTTAAGGTTATAGAAAAAAACTCTATGATATACTGTTTTCTTTGCAAAATAGTGCATGATTATGAAAATAATTTTTTTTTAAACCTGTGTACCAATGAAGAGTGATAGATGTACCATAATTTGAAAACTACTGAAATAGACAGGATATTACATTCCAAAATAACCAAGCATGATTTATATTGCAGAAATGTCAACTTGACCATAACTATTATGGTGCAGATTCCACATCTACTTACACACACACACACACACACACACACACACTAATAGTGCTTTTAATCAATGAGAAATAACATCACAATTATCAGTGAGAACTGAGACACTCTAGCTGTAAATAATAAAAATAACTGCAATAAAAAGTAAATCCAAACCTATGATTATAATCTTCAGAAAGCAGCTCCTCACTGGGATGTGGGGGCAGGGGAGGTGGAACTTCATTCTCGGCACTCCCACGATCAGACATAGTCAGCTCTGAAACTAAAAAGGGTTAAACAAAGTAGGAGCAGCAATTATATTACACCAGTTCACTGATCCATAACTGGACTGGAAGGCCTGAAGTGATCCACAAATTATACAAATACCTAAACTAACTAAATAATAGTAAGTTCAACTGTTTTAAGTTTTTTGGTTTGCAACATTTACTAACTTCGAGATAGGTAGTAAGGTGCCTTCCCTGCAGATATCTCCTTCTTCTCCTTCTCTGTTCTTAATAGGAGAAAAGAAAAGTTGCTACTATCCCATGACAGGATGGATAAGCCCGAAGCCCCGGATCATTGTCTAAATTCCTCCTGTAATACCCATCTACGACTACGAACATGACAAGTTCCTCTTCACCATCATTCCTTCCTTCTACTCTGTACTTTCCTATCACTTACTCCCTTTGTGATCACCAGTCTATGAACATCTCTGACTTTTCTTTCTCCTAGTCTTCACTTTTCTCCTTGTCGTCACTAACTGCCATCAGCATCATGATTGCCACTTTCAACTCTGTCCCTCTCCCCGTAACTCCTCATTTCCTCTCATGCCATTCTGAATGCTCCTGTAAGCCCCACCCTTGACCTCCCCATTATATGCTACCTCCATTCTGGTCTCACATTACTGAGTATCTCTGGAGAACAACTAGGGACTATACTGACTTCTTCCACTGCGTGTTCTCACTCCCTCATCCTTCCAATCTGCCCTTTTTCCTTTCTAGACAGCATTACTCCCACTGTCCCAAATTGACCTATACCACAAGCTAATCTATTACATCAGTTCCCTCCCTAAAGGCCCTGATCCTGTGAGTTACCAAGTGCATTTTGCAATATAGTGCATGCCCTTAAATTCCCACTGACTTTACTCCACTGAAATTCAGTGGGAATGGTGAGTACTCAGTACATCTGAGGGTTGGTGTGGTGGATGCAGAGCTGCCATGTAATAATCTATTAATACTGATACAGTATTCATAAAATTACGATACATGTGAACTGATCAATGAGGTGAAGTTACAGTATATTGGGCTATTAGACTTTCCTGAATGAATATATTCATCTAGTTTAGTAGAGGCTGTTGGAAAAAACAAGCAGGAAAGCAACAGTATGGCTTCCAGAGAAGATCACCACAGCACACACTTGAGAGACAATGAAGACAGCTGTTAGCTTTGAGGATCCTATATCCTGTCTCCCATGAAGATATATGGTTTGTTTTGCCAGGCTCAGGGCCTAGAAACCAAAAAAGGCACCCAACAGTTAAAAAGCCCCTCTCAGGAGAGAAGGAGGGGTCAGCTGTCAAGGGCTGTCCCGGGGGACAGGGTGGCATAAAGAGAGGCTCTGCACAGAGAGTCTGAGGGAGCTGGGCATGGGCCTGCCACAGTAACATCAGAGAGATGGTAAGCTCTCAGTAGACAGGTCTGCGTACAGACTGGCTTATTATTTTAAAATGTTCTCTTAAATGTTTTGGTTCTAAATAAATAACACTTTGCTTTAAGATGGCTGTCTGGTCACTGGTTACCACTATCATCGCACCTGGAGGGGACAAAGCTGCAGGTACTGAAGATAAATCAGATCTGCTAAGATAAGCATGGTTAAATTACAGGAGGTTGTGGCCCAAGACCTGATCTGAGAATAGGAGAATTGCATGATTCCAATCCAGGAGAGAAGATATGGCTTGAGATAGACACATGAGGGAAGTGCGCTCTAAGAGACCAAGTGGGTCAACAGTGCAAGTAGCTCACTAACTGTGACAGTTGGGCCTTAGGTTTTATGCCATTTGGAGTAGGGAATTTCTGGTATTGTTTTTACAGCATGCAAATTTTTAAAAATAAAATAGTAATAGTTATTTTCTATATCAATTAATCTTTTCATGCCACTTTTAAATGTAGATACTTGTACATCCATGAAGATTCAGCATGCGAAGCTATTGTAGGGTAGATACTTTATCTTTACAATATTTCTTAACTAGAGAGATGACATCAATTCCCTTGCAACTCTGATCATTTTTTGGATGTAAAAGAGCTTCTGATGAGGCAGATTCCAGTAATCTTTCAGCACCAGAAATGTGAAGTTGCTGGCACTGAAGTATTGCTTCTCGAAGAGGTTGTTCTAAAACTGCTATTTCTGCACAACAGCTTGGCAAGAAAAAAAAGTAGGGACCTGTGGGTGGCAAGCATTATTCATGCAAAAATAGACTGAACATTGGCATTTCAATATTGGATTAAAAACCTTCCTTTATTGAAATATCCACAGGCAAGACAAAATGTAATGTTTTGGCTATAACAGCTTTTCCTCAGACATTACATTTGATCTTGCTCGTGTATAACAAAAAAGATCCTTTAAAAAAAAATCTAGTATTAATAAGCCAAGCTTCCATCTATTTTTATTGAGCTTCTAGAACAGTCTTATGTGTAGAGTAGTGCCTAGTATTAGAAGTAACTTATTTGAAAACATTAACTGAGAGTATATTTATTAAACACAATTCAACTTCTGCCACAAATTTTTTTTTGCATTGGGCACACTGGGTATTGTATTGACATCTCTGCTATCTTTTATTACTATTTACATTATGGTAGCACCCAAAGTTTCAGATCAGGACTGGAACTTCAATGGGCAAGGCACCATGAAAACATATAGCAAGAGACAATCCCTGTATCCGATATAAGACTGTAATCCTGCAACTTGTTCAGTGTGGGAAGACACACAAGCACATTTGGGTTCACTGGGGCCCTGTGGGGTTGCATGGTTTCACGTGTGCAGATACCATTGTAGGATCGGAGCCTATTATAAAAGAAAATGCAAAAGCTTTTTGTAACAAATGATATGGGGGTGGGCATGGAGAAAAGGGTAACACTGAGAGGAATGTGGGTTAAAGTAGGTTAAATGTTCAAAATTAAACTATTTCTACAGTAAAATACATGTCACATGTATGTGCACTGTATTATTTTAGGGCCATATCCTCTGCTCACATCTACCTGAAGGATTTCAGCTCTGATATACAGAACCCTCTACTAGGTATTTTGCTACTCTAGGCAAATGCGTGTCCCATTCTCCCCATCCCTACCCCCCCAATTCTGTTGGATTTCACTAAATAAATCTTTTTTTAAATGTAAGTCACAATACAAAGATACTTCACTTAGTTCTCAGTAATATTTAAAATTCTCTCTCCTTAGCCCTTTGACTGACATCACGCATATCTTCCCAGGCCTTGGTTTCTCTCTCTCTCTCTCTTTCCTCCCTCATAAAGGGGTCTCTCTTTGCCCTATGTCTGTGGTGTCTTCTCAACATCTAACATCCATTCACCTCTCACATCGTGGTGGGTTGTCTCCTTCCTTTAGCCCCTCAAAAATGTAACACAAAGAACGAGCAAAACAAAAAGACACACACTAGCAACCTCTGCTGCTAGGATCCCTCAGAAAGTATAGCTCTTCCAAACAGGACTTATTCTGATCCTTATCTAGGTACTTTAAAAAGTGCCTGATTAGGAACATGAGGAGTCCCACTGAATGGGTGAGAACACCTAATGAGACTTCTCAAATGCTTAAAATTAGGCATATGCTTAAATACCTTGTGGAGTCAAGGCTATACATGGCTGCCAGTGGGGTTTTTCTGCTGGTACGGGGAGGAGGTAGGAACATAAAGTGTCAGTGTTAAAGCTGGGTGTTGTACTCAGTTATTTACAGACTAAGAAAATTATAGTTACTAGTTTCAAAGTCTGGAATGGGGTATGTAAATATGTTGTCCTAATTCTATTGTACATTAAGGGTCTGTTTCGAACCTTAAAAATATTTTAAATCTTAATAAACTAAAATAGCAAATCTTACGAATATTATGGTATAGTATAAATTCCTACTGGATTATAAAATGTGACACAAACTAGACAATTTGCTTTTAAAAATAATCACTGTACCCATCAAGGATGTATAGAAAATAAACATTTTGACAATATATATTTTGCAATCATCATTTGTTTTTTATCCAAACTTACGTGTTGGGCAGTGAGCTAGAAACTGTTACTTAAACTGGAACGTGTGCCAGGAATTTAATTCACAACTTCTGAGTCAGCTCTCCCACCCTCCCCGGATCTTCAAGCTTCAAAGTAACAGAGCCTGCACTTACTCTAATTAACTGTTTTTCTAGTTGATATGGATTTCTGAAAACAAAAAGAGCACTTTTTTTTTTTTTGGCATGAAGAAGGCTGTACAGTACATACCTTTTAGTCTTTCCTGAGGACTGTAAGTTACAAATTGCTGCAGGACAGCATCATTGCGCCTGGAGATAGTGGTAAAGGTCTGACTGCCCTCAAGTGCTCGTTTTGGAAAAAAAACATGATCTGAGTGTTCCTAAGAAGAAACAGAATCACATATTTTAATGTAAAAAATAAATGTCCAACAGAGCCAAGGAACAGTAATCACTAAATCACACTGGGGTTTGTGCATTATTTGTCAGGCGTTTATTGTACATTATTAACTGTGCAATGAGAAACATGAAAGATGTCTTCAGACCATTGCTGACCATGAAAAAAGAGATTACCCTTACATGAGAAATGATCATTAAGGATGATAAACAGAGAAAAGGACTTCTTTTCTGACCCACAACTGGCTTCCTGTTATTCCTCCATCTGCGAGGGCAGCTTGTGGCATTGTCAACATAAGGGCACAGGCAATGCCAGTGATATTTCTTTGCCAGCCAGCTGGTTCCCTTCGCTCAGAGACTGAGTGTGTATGCTCTGATGATCACACACTAAAGCAGCCTTGTAACCCCTAAACCTAGGTCTTCTGGCTGGCAGCTGAACAAACTTTTGCCACACCTCTAGTCTGTTTTTCTTTTGAGATATTTCCCCGCCCCCCAACCCCATATCCATATTGCAGCTCCTAATTTATTCTCCTGACAGTTGCAGTTAAAAAATGCACAATTTATCAAACTGGGACAAACCCAAAAAGGCACTTCTGTAGTTGTTGTACAGGGGAAATTATTAATATAGACAGTAAAATGCTTTGGCTAATTATTACCAGGTAGAATGATATTCTCAATATTGTAGTTTCTTTGAAAAGCTGATACATAACCAGAAAGGAGCCTCCACTTGGCCTTCATTTTACAAAGTTGACTTCACCTGGGCCAGTGGATTTCATATTGCAGTTGTAGCACTTATACATTTTAGAACATGTATGTTAGAATCTTTTAGTAAGAAGTAGATGGAATGCCAAGGCTATATTTACCTACATCCTGTCCCTTTAAGGCAGGGTCTCAAACTCAATTTACCTTAGGGCCAGCACCAGTCCTCAAATCCTCCCAATGGGCCAATAATGTCACTCATGCTGCCCAGAACCCACCCCCCAAAACTCCGCCCCCACCTGCCAAAGGCTCTGGGAGGGAGTTTGGGTGCTGGATGCAGGCTCTGGACTGGTGCAGGGAGTGGAGTGCAGGAGGAGGGGTTGCAGGCTCTGGGAGGGAGTTTGGGGGTAGAAGGAGATGTGTGGGAAGGGGGTGCAGGCTCTGGGAGGGAGATTGGGGACAGGATGGGGTGTGGGGAGGGGCTGCAGGCTCTGGGAGGGAGTTTGGAGGCAGGAGGGAGTATGTTTGGAGGGGGTGTGGGTGCAGGCTCTGGGAGGGGATCAGGGGGTGCAGCACTTACCTGGGGCTCCAAGGCAGGGCGGCCCGGGGAGCCTCCGGGCGCTGCTGCCCCCAGGCACCGCCCCTGCAGCTTCCCATTGGCTGCAGGGGTGCTTGGGGTGGGGGCAGTACGTAGAGGCACAGCCCCGCCGCGGGGCCGCAGGGAGGGACCGGCAGCCACGTGGAGTGAGCAAGCCGGAAGCCACTCAGCTCCACTGTGATGCCAGTGGTGGGCGGGGCCCCAGGGCCATTTTAAATCGCCCAGGGGACGCGCGGGGGGTAGCACGTGTGGGAGTGGCAGGCGGGGCCAAGGGAGAGACCCGGTCCCAAAATTGCTGGAGCCCCACATTGGAGAAGTTCTCGGGCCACAGATGTAGGCCAGGAGTTTGAGACTCCTACTTTAAGGCAAGGAACTGTGCTGAAGAGGTCAAAGGGAGCAGGGTGTGGTGACAGAAGAGTCTAGCACTCCTGGAAGACTCTGGCCTTGGCTACCCTTGCAGCTGTACAGCGCTGTGAGGTAAACCTGTCTTCGTACAGCTGAGTAGGGAAAAGCGCTGCAGTCTGTCCACACTGATAGCTGCCAGCGCAGTGGTATGGCCACACTTGTAACATTTGCAGTTGTGCTGGGAGCGGTGCATTATGGGCAGCTCTCCCAGCATTCATGTGGCTGCATGTGCTTTTCAAAATGGGGGGGTGGGGTGGATTGTGACAGGGAGTGTGGGGGGAGAGAGCTTTGAAACCGGCACTTCCGCATTCCTGCAGCTGGTCACAACAATGGAGAGGATTGGGCACTTGACAAGGTGATTAGTACAGCGCTGCAAGCGTTTGCACTCACACCTGTGAGTCATAGCCACTCCGCTGCAGCTGTTATTCCTCTCGGAGATGTGGAGTACCTGCAGTGGTGTACCCAGGGAGATACAGTGCTGTAAGTGCCCTGCCAGTGTGGACGGGGAGTGAGTTACAGCGTTGGGGGAGGCTTTACAGCGCTGTAACTTGCAAGTGTAGCCAAGGCCTCTATTGCAGTGGCCTTTTGCAAGCTCTGTGTTTGCCTGATTCTGATTACGGTTTTAATAAAATGTTCCAGTTTTAAACAGCACGCCTGGTCCTGAGAGTGTAACACAGGCACCAACACTTATGCATCCCTTTTCAGGTACTATCACTTGTGCACACAGATTATGCGTTGTGTGTGTATAACTTTTATCTTCTATGCGCATAACTGATGGTACTGAAAAATGCATGCAAGTGAGCATGCCTGCAAAGTTATGCTCAAAGCAATAGAGACTGGGTTAAATTGCCTTTGAAACTTTTCATCATCATCATCATGTTCCTATTACGCCTCTGGAGTTTAGTGCAGTGACGAAGCTCCACCACTCCAGTCTGTTTCTGGCAAGTCTTTCAATGGTTCCCCAGGTTTTTCAGCTCAGCTTCCACAGCTCATCGCCATGTTGTTTTCGGGCAGCCTCGTTTCCGCTTGCCTTTAGGTGTCCATCTTATTGCTATTCTGGCAATGGAATCAGTTTCCATCGGAAGCACATGACCGATCCATCTCCAACACCTCCTGGCAATGATGGTGCTCAGATCATCTTGGCTGCACTGTGTCAATAGATCTTGGTTTGAGATTGTTCTGGGCCAAAAGATACGGAGGATTTTGCTGAGGCAGGTTGTATGGAATGAAGACAGTTTGGACATGTCATACTTTCTCATTCCCCAGCATTCTGCACTATAAAGTAATGTTGAAAGTACGCAGCTCTGATAAATCTTCAGTTTGGTTATGGTATTGTATTTTGATAATTTCCAGACTGTATTTAAGCTCCTGAAGGTGTTCCTGGCTTTACTGATTTTGTTCCAGATTGTCCTGGCTTGTTCCTCCGTTCTGGCTGATGGTGCTGCCCAAATATGTAAATGTTTCTACATTGGTGAGAACATAATCCTCTATCCGTACTGGTGATGGTGAGGCAACATTAAAGGTCATGATAGTTGTCTTATTGCAGTTGATTTTCAGTCCAATATGCTGGCTGAATGCATTGAGTCGGGTTGTTTTTTCTTGTATATGGTGTTGCATATGTGATAGGAGAGCGACATCATCTGCGAACTCCAGGTCTTCTAGGGATGAGAAGAGTGTCCATTTAATGCCTCTTGACATGTCTTCTGTTTTACACCGCATTACCCAGTCGATGGCAATGTTGAAGAGGATTGCAGACATGACACACCCCAACGTACTTCTGTTTTGACTTCAAAACTGAGCTCACTGTGATCAACACTGCATGTAAAGTTGAAATAGAAGCTTTTGATGACGTTGATTATATAGAAAGGAATTCCATATGCCCACAGAATGCGCCATAGCCTGGTCCCGTGAATGCTACCAAAAGCCTTCTCAAAGTCTATGAAATTTATGTAGAGTTGCCGTTGCATTCTAAGCACTGTTCTATTATGTTTCGTAGAGTGAAGATCTGATCTGTGCATTCACGCCCTTTCCAAAAACCAGCTTGCTCTTTTCTCAGAACACTATCAACTGCCTTTGATATACACTGGACTATGATCTTACACAATACTTTGCTTGGCACAGATAAACGTGTGATACCACGCCAGTTATTACAATCACAGAGTTCATTTCTTTGGTATCTTCACTATAACCCCACTGGTCCACTCATCTGGCACTTTCCCCCTTTCTCAGACTGATGTAAATAGAGGGATCGGGATAGATGCAGCTAATTTAGGATTTACCTTCAAAAATTCTGCATTCAAGTTATCCTTGCCAGAAGCTTTCCCATTTACGGATTTGATGTCTTGAATGATCTCTTCCTTAGTTGGGGTGTCTGTGTTGATATCAAGATCTTCTTCTGCCTCCTGGATGTTTGCCTTCTCTTTAGGTGGCTCCCTGTTCAGCAATTCTTTGAAATGCTCTGTCCAGCGCATTTCTTGTTCTTTTTCGATTGTTAGCAGGTGTCCTTGTTTGTCCCTGATGAGAGTGTTTGTTGGTGTCTGCCATTTACCACTGATAAGCCCCATCATTTTGTAGACGGTTCCTTGTTCACCACAAGCAGCTGCATCCTCTGCTTGTGTTGCTAGATTATCAATATAATGCAGTTTGTCTGCTCTCACAAGGCGTTTGACCTCCCAGTGTGCCTTGCTATACTGCTCATGGTATTTGTCCTTT